CATGATATGGGACAATTTTTCTGTTTTTCAATTTTTCTGCGAGGATTTTTGCGGATGTCGCGTGGGGAAATGGCGTCCGAAATTCCCGAAATGGTTGATGCTTTTGGCCCACAACTTAATGCGTTCGTGTCTGTTGGAATTTTACTGGGATGTCAGTATTTTCGTCGTAAGCTGCTCCAGTTTGCGTGAAGTAAGACAGTGTGGAATTTAGTTATGTGCCGCTTTATATCACGGACCAAGTTGTGTTCTGCTGCTTCTTTTACAAGAGCTCCATATTACTCCACTCTAAGTTTCACATATGTTGAAGATTANGTGGGAGATTCTCTGAAATGTTGACAGAAAGATTGAAGGACAGATTCTAAATCTCACAGGTGGTAGGGTAGGCGGAAGGAGGGGTGGGAGAGGTGACTATGACCCCTTAGCCCTTCCACGAACTCAACCTATCGTGGAACCATCGAAGATCTCACAGATACAAAACTTACTGCTTTCCCCAAGGCCACTTATTAAATACTTATTTGTTCACAGTTAAAATTACGTTATTATCCTTTCATAAATGTTATGTTTTTAGGGAAAATTAATTAGTAAAAGGGCTGTGCTAGATTTCTGAGAAGAAAGGTTATCAAGAACTATCTTTCACCACTAAATTCAGAGGGTAATTTTACACTGGATTCTTGCATGGTTGCAAGGGTATTGTAGATGAAGTTTCATTCATGTAGTAATCTTAAACTAATTCTAAGCTTACCAATTTCGTTTTGTTCTTTTTTTTTTTCAGCCGTTTGGTTCCATAACAGTGTGTATGTCTCGAATCCTCTGCATTTCACCTGTTCCTGGAACGAAATTCAGCGGTTTGGAAGCACTCCAGTCCGAAAACGAAACCAAATCCGACACTCAGTCCATCTCTCTGGGAAGTGAGAAGAGCAGTAAAGGAAACACAACGCCCAAAATTTCACGTTCAGGTTATGCCAGCGACGAAGATGTCACCGGTCCACAAAACATCATGGCGTTTGATAGCAGTTCCGAAGACGAGGAGGGACTGGGTCAAGAGAGTTTTCTTGGCGGGAAATTCACCGACGGAAGCTCGCCGTTCGACGTCGACGGCCGACTCAGTCCCGAAGGCAGTAGTTTGGGAACTACGGGAAGTGCCGACGGCTTGGACAGTAGTCAAGACGAAAATGTGTTTGAGTTCGAGGAAAATGACTCCAGTTGTGACGAGATGAAAGCTAAAGGATCCCGTAAACACTCGAAGCGGAGAATGGGGTCTTCTCCCAGAGCCAGCCAAGATCTCAAAGACAGCCTGTCGGATATTGTGAATTTTGACACCGATGAACCTTGTACTGTCTGGCTGGGAACAGAGGACGGATGGTATGTTCTTGTCTTCTTAACTAGACTTTTTGCGTGACATTAACGTGCGTGATGGATGGATTCACGCGTGTCACGCAACCAGCGTTTATATGGTTAGATTTCTCCTCGTCTTGGACAATCAGAAACAATGTATAGGTCCAATCATATTAACTAGTCAAGTGTTGATAAAATATTAATTTCCATTTTTAATTCGACTAAACTTTTGCATTTTGCTTTTTCAGTATTTTCGTGTATCCAGCAAAGGAAGCGCAAAACAAGAAATCAAAGTTAAAGCTTCAGCATTCTGGATCCATCCAGTGTATATTGTAAGTATCGTCTGGTTTGCCAGTCAATAACCATACGCCATTGCGTTGTGTACATAGTTAATTTGTTGAATATCTGTTTCAGGTATGTTGATAATCAAGTCTTCATTTCACTATCAACGGGTCACTTGTACATTTACAGAAGACCGCCAGGTGAGACTTAAAGTATTTGACAATTTTTTTTTGTAACAGTTAGACGATGATGTCTGAACAGTGACCACAGACGGAAATAACCCGATTTATAATTAATCAAATATTTTCGCTCATCAAAATGTTTTGTGGACTCGCTCGGCTGCGCCTAGTGAGTCCACAACATTTTGACTACTGTGATGACGCGTATCGTTGTCGATAAAAGTACAGACCACGCTAAACCACATTCGATTTGTCAAATCTGTTCCTCGAAGCTCACAGTTTTCTCCGAGCTACGCCCTCGGAAAACTGTTCGCTTCTCGAATGTCCGCGGACAAATATCCGTGCATATTTTCGCGTCAAATGACATTAACGTGCGTGACATTGTTTATGTATAAACTGAAGTAAAAACTTGCCGCAGGTGCCAATCGCGCGAAAACTGTTAACGGTGCTAAGCGCGGGAAAACGTGAAACAAGTACCAAGCGCGGGAAAATATTTACCGGGGTTCAACCGGTGGTAAGCGCGGCTGATGAAGCGCAGGAAAACTCGCTAACTCGTATTTAACTGATGCTAAGCGCTGGGAAATATGAACCCTGTTCCAAAGCGCGGGTAAACGCGTGTAAACCAAGTCATGATTGGCTGAACACAAGGTATGTGTGTCCTGATTGGGTGAAGAACACTTAATGAGTATGAATTTTTGTTGTTTTCCTGTGGCTTAGTTGTAAGACCATTTTGTACCGAACACTGGTAGAATCATCTAAATTTGCGCCACCTAGGCGTTTCATTTGCAGTTTGCGCAGGTTTTAAAACAAGCTTCAACCAGTCTGCCACCCAGCTGGATGGTTGTACCATGTGACCAAACCAATGTAGTGCAATGCATACTTTAACCTGCACTGACGCATTTCATTTTGTAATCAGGTTGCGCCTGGGAAATAGGCAATCCCGTAATGCTTCACATCGGAGAGTCGGCAGCAGTCTCCTGCATGACAGCTATTCACGGTCGATTGTGGTGTGGCCTGGGCTGTAATGCTGTCATCGTCAACACAACTACTTTAGCAGTCGAGGTGAGACTGTCATTTCAAAGTTTTCTGTATTGTTTGAAAAGCGATGGTTAATTCTGAAGGGAAGGTGAAGCTGATTTTGTAATGCGCATATTTTTTCTTTTCTCTCAGACGTCGTTCAGCTGTAGTTTGGACAAAGACCATGCTGTGTACCGCATGGCTAGTTCTGGAATGGGAGTGTGGGTTACGCTGCAGAGCTCTTCTGCGGTGAGATTGTTTCACGCTACGCGGTACGAGTGCTTGGCAGATGTTGACGTGGCCCCACCCGTGCACAAAATGCTTCAAGGTAAGACTGCTGGCTTATTTTGTAGGTATGCAATGCGTCCAGAGTATTTGCGACGCGTGCACCGTTGAATCTTTGATAAAGGTAATATTGTGTTGTTCCAGATTGTTCTTCAAAATGTTATCCCTAATTTAACCGTGCTTTAGGGGAAGAGAGGTAACTGTAAATGAAATACCGACATATGTAGTTCTAAAGCTTGTTTATGTTGTTCTTGTTAGGTTCTGATGCGATCATCCGTCAACACAAAGCAGCCTGTCTGCGCGTCACAGCTCTGCTTGCTTGCAAGGACCTCCTCTGGATTGGCACTAGCGCAGGCGTAGTTTTAACATTACCGCTGCCAACAATCACCGCCAGCACTGCTTCTCTTCGTAACTGCCCCTCGGCAACAGCCTCCTTTCACGGGCATACGGGACATGTGCGTTTTCTCACTGCTGTCGAGGTCCCAAGAGAAGGAACACAAGACCACACCAACGATAAAGGGTCCAGCACCACAATAAGCACCACTCTAAGTACGTCCCCTTCGACTCCGAATGCACCTCATACGCCGGGCTCTTCCGCGGCAAGGGACGTATTGATCATCAGCGGCGGAGATGGCTACGAGGACTTCAGAGCAAGCTCCGCCAGCGAATCCGCTGGACGAGATGACAGCACTAATCATCTCCTTATTTGGCGTGTATGATACTTGAAGCGGAAACAGTCATGCTAAAATCCTTTCGCCTGACAGGATGTTGCCTAGCAACGTGACGTATCCAGAGAACGATAAGCAACAGACGCATGACTTTCGGATTCCTCGTGATTGGCCAATTAGAAACGGAGCACTTCGGATTCTCCACAAGTATTTGCCGAAAGTGGCGTCGCATCCGACCCAGTATGTCGATGGAACAAGACCCGAATTCTAAGTTGTAACAATTGACTCTCCAAACGATTAAGTAATAATTAAGAGTTAATTGTAAGAAGTTGTAATCAATAGAAAGCAAATAGTTTGTCCACTTTTTAGGAGATTTATCATATTCAAATGCGTTAGATTTTTCACGTTGTGGCTTAATCTTGAGTTAATGTCGGGTCAACATGTTCCCTTGAAAAATAGGAGTTATTATAACGAAGGAAGACAGAAGAGTAAAGTTCGGTTCATTCTCCAAAAAGGTGACTTGCATAAGCATTTGAAGTAAATATTAGAACGTGGAAAAAGAGAGGTATTTTTTAAAGTCAGTTAATATTTTTGTGAAATTGTACATAGCTCATGATTGACCAAGTGGTGTTTGTTGGACAAAAACAAAAAAGTCAAACATTCGGATAGAGTAGAACCACAGTAGTTTTATTAAAAGCTGATCATGTACATGCAAATTTGAGCTTATTTTCCTAACAGGAAAAAAATATGTAGAGGTATTTAGACACCGCTGTAAATAAAGATCTTAGAGCAAAAGGAGCGACTTAAGTTGTGTGAATGATTAAAATTATTTTTAGCTTACAAAGGTTTGCTATACTACTGACTGTCTAGAACCTAAAGCCAGACGAAATCGTAAATTATTGACGTTGACCCAATCTATCTCGTACTCAGGCCATTTTCTAGTGGCCTTTTGCCTCTGTGTCATAACGAGTATTCACGCGAAATAATTCGTATGAAAATGTGTTTTCCCCCCACGTTCATCTTCGTGCTAATCATTTAACATGAACAGTTTTGCACGAAGTCTCGCTTTAAAACAACAGCTCGGAATTCATTGGTCTATCCCCTTGCGCCTCCCCTTTCGACATTCACGTGACAGAACATGACGCGCGTGTCGTTGAACGCACGGTTGCGGTGTATTAATTGCTAGCAACACGGCAAACAGTATGTTTTTCCATTTTGACCATGATTATGTCCTCAAAGTGGTATTCTTAAGGAAAGAAAACTCAATGGCACCCTATGGGGCCGTGCCAATCTTGAAGCTCGTAATGATAGGCTCACTTTCCGTCGCTCTCTCCCGTCCCGTCCCCGAAGGTCTCCCCGAGAAGCACGGGCTCCTTTCCCTAGCAGCGGCCGTTTGTAGCTGCAGTTTATGCTTTCATCTTTTACAGTTTACTTCTTGTTTTCACAATAAAATTAAGTATCTCGAGCTCGTTGTAGTCTTTCTTTTTATGTTCCTTAAAAATGAACTCGAGCGCGTTTCTTGAATTTTTCTCGAGCTGATCTATCCAGCCTTCCTCTTAATGACTTGTGTCAATTTACCTCCAAACGCTAGAAACTTACAATATGTTTAGAGTAAAAAGTAACAAAACCGTGAATTTTTTACTCATCACAAAGAACGTCGAACGACATGACGTCCAACGCCAGAAACCAGTGAGCAGTTTGTTTCGTCACGCCACGCGTGTCTGCACTCAGGCAAAACGCCAGGCATGCGTTATCTTTGTGTTATTGTTGAGCGACCTCCTGTTGCTCATATTTTTGCTTGGTACGCTAAATATTGTTAGTCTTTTATGCTAGGTTTAATCTGTATTTCATGGTGGAGATGCAGAAGACGAGCGAGAATATTCTCGATATATGCGTAGCGCGACGTAAAAGTTTCGAAAAGGTCATTTAATTGAATTTCATGTCACGCAATCTTGTGTGAGGCCATAGAGTAAAACCCACAGGGGAAACGCAAAAAAGATGGAGACCCCAGCACACCTGGAGGCGCACAAGAACGATATAGTTGTAAGAGAGACGGCTCTGGTGGCGGGACGTGAAACAGACTGCTCAAAACAGGGTTAGGTGGCGGGCGCTAGTGGACAACCTGAAGCAGATTGATGAATCTTGTGTGACAAGCCAGCCAATAAAGTGTGGTAAACAAACAAGCCAACAAACAACAAACATCAACATTAAAAGCTCCTTTAATGAGCAATATGATATGCATTCAAGTAAACAAGAACGGCCAATCTACCATAAATACTATCATCAGTGCGGTCTAAACTCAGGCTACTCCTACACTGCCAGCAGTCGGATGCAATTAAGAGACAAGTGGCGTCATTATTTTAACAATTATTGTTAGATTAACAACGGATCAATGAAGCGATCTATAAAGGCTCCAAAACCAAATCCAACAAGTAGCATTTTGCCTTCAGCATTAAGACCTTTTCCTAAACATACACTGAAGTTTTCAACTCTGCATTTCACAAAAATGTTATATTCCGTATGAAAATGTGCTCAATCTATAACTTTCAAAAGCCATATCTTGATCAAGTCCTGCATGTAAAAGAACCAAACCTTTAAAAACTTGATTGCTGGATAAACTTGATTATCAAATTCAATGCGAGTATTCACAAATCACTTCTGTAAAAGAAGTTTGTCTACGGAAGCTTCTGACCACGTGCAAACCGCGTGACAACCATATAAGACCCACGTGACTTTACCTTAAGACCCGCGTGACCTCTCTAAATTATCGTATGTACAAATCTACTGCAATAAATTACGCCCTACATGAACTCGCCTCTAACACAATACTACAAACCACAAGACGAACATGCACTGGTTTTGTAAGGTATACTATTTAATTCATAATTTCACACGTGTTTCTCTTTCACTCAGAAGGGAAGATTCCAAGTAGCCAACGGATTCTGAAATAGTCTGTTAACAGGCGCCTATTTTTTCTTGCGAGTTACTTTCTTTTTTGAGCGCGAACGCGCGAGAACGGCCGCGAAGAGGGCGCAAATTTTGTCATTCCCCTGGGCCACCCCCTTGAATTCGGGCTTTTTTTAAAAATTACCTCCGGCTAATACTTCTGCTAAATGCGATCTTCACGAACTCAAGACAAAATAGAGTGTCTGGGACAGACTAAATGTGAAATAGAGACGGTAAATTAGAATAAATACTTCACGTCCGATGAGAATTTTTTTACGGCACTGAATATCGGTTAGATCCGGGAAGAGATTCTCCTTTGGAAACCGTGTGAAATTACGACTGCCGGCTATTACTATACTCTGAAGCATTTCTTGAAAGCTATTAACTCGAAAACAGGTCAACGAACGAAATTTCTCCAATGTGGAAGCCAATTAACAATATATGCTTGAATAGTGGACGGAAAACAGACAGGCAAATAAATTAAATCTATATTTTGACTATGTCGATTTTTACTCAGTACTTTATGCCAAGCTCTCTTAACAGAAGACGACTGCATCCGTGAGAACTAAACGTTTGTATGTTCGTTGAACACAGGGGGAATTCCTTCACGATCGCGGTCCTATGAAGAAACAAAGACCAAACTTCAATTTCTCCTTACGGAATCACGTGATCAAGCAAACAGAGATAAGAATAAGGAAAACCATCAACTAGGGTATCGTCCTGATGGGGCTCTTAATTCTCTAAACTGACACTGAAGGAAAATTATGAAAATCAGTAAGAGGAATTGAAATTTTGAGAAAAGAAAAAAAAAATACTTACATGCATCCTGGCAGAGCCAGCAGAGGCCTGGGAAGCTCGTGACGGGGATCCGCGGCTGGATTTAGCCGTGGCAGCCCGGGAACCACTGGGGCTGCCCTCGCGGTTCATGGATGCCTCGCTGTCCCAGCGCTCCAACTCCTCTCGCACCAGTCTTTCCATCTGATCTCGTTTCAGATCCCGCTCGCTGCGCTCACTTCGGTCACTCTGAGTAGGGAAAAAAGAAAGTCTTACATCACCCGGAAAAAACCGTGGCGTGAAAATGCGTTACGTTTCGTGACTGTTATTCTTGCTGTCTACTTACATCAGCGATGGAGTCGAGCAGTCTAGCCATAGTCTCGCGTCGTTTCAGCTTGGCCTTCTCCATGGCCTCAAGTTTGACAAGGACCGCGTCAATCTTGGACACAATGCTACCGATGGAGTGTTCCATGCGATCCACGCGGCGGCTGAGACTAAAACACAAACCACAGATAACATGATGAAGGTTCTGTTTTACTTTTATTAAGTGAAAAGTTCCTTAAATTTGTTACTGCAAGGTGTCTAAGATACGTGCCCCAGTTGATCTCTTTGCAAATGCTCTTAGCTTTTCACGTAAGAGGTGCCACTTCATGTAATTTGTGGCTGCATGAAGTTTAGCCTTGTTGGTCAGAGACGTCTTTGATTTCCAATGAAACTCTGATTACGCCCAAGGTTGAGCTTGAAAGGGAGAGGTGGTGTAGTTTAACTTCAATAAATGGTTTTATTTTAAAAAATGTAGTGGTATGTACTGTGTGGTTACAAATCGATAACAACGCTACGCCACAAATGAAGATATCATTTTTATCCAAACGTGTGATGTCATTTTTGATATCATTTTTTGACCCTTGAACTGTACTTAAATCTGTTGGCGTATGATCGAAACATCTTCGGATCTTGCTCGGAAGTCTTCGGTAATCTTCGGCCACCTTCGAAAAATCGTCGGTAATCTTCGGAAAAGTTTGGGAATAGTTCGTAAATATTCGCGTAGCCTTTGGACAACTTAACGAAAGCGGCCACGTACTATCGCCTACAACTTACACGTTGAATTCTTCATACGAGACTCCTCCCCCACCAGCATTGGATCGAGCCATAGCTGAGCCGGCTCGCGCACTCAGTCCGCCGGTGGAACCCTCGTCATCGTCACTATCATCACTGCTAACATTGCTGGCGCTCTTGGGACGTCCACTCTTTGTTTCTTTGGCTCGTTCCATCTCCTCGATTTCGTCGTTCAGTTCAGCCTACATGATGCAAGCATAAGATGATAGCGAGTTCGAATGTGGAAGATCAGCGCTACTATTTTTACTTGAAATTCTAACAAATGCTCAACTGCACAACTGAATAATTATTTCTATGTCTGACAGTTTTAAAAATCTTGCAAGACAGTATCAAAGGATGACACTCAAAACAACAGCCAAGTGCTCGAATTTAGCCCAAGATTGATTAGAAATCTGACCTTCTGTCCTTCCAGATCTTCTTGCATCTTTCTCTGTTCTTCCTCGTCCAAGATTCTGTCGCCATCTAAGTCGTACTTGGCAAAGACCGCTTCGATTTCTGCATCAGCATGGCCACGGCTAAACAAAAACGACACAACCGTATGAGTCGTACAACACTTCCTGTCTACAGATAAATTCTCTTAACTGGTCGCGATAAGTTTCTTACAATACAAGCCGGGAGAATTTATCAAAAGATCAAGGAAATTTCTTTTAACTGAGCAAGCTCTTGTTTCTCGTGACTTACACGCTGGTATTGCCAGTTTCAGGATGAAGTTTAATCACAGAGACCCTTGCCACACCCATTCGCGAATCGTCTTTGGCCTCCACTCACGCGGCGATGATCGCTCAAATTTTGTAACAAAATGTTTAATTCTAATACCGCATTTGATACATATAGCTTCGATCACGCCGGGGATAATAATTTATTAGACCGCATACAGATGCGAAAACAGTCACTTAGCAGCATAAAATTCAGAAATTTAACCCAATCTTTAACAATTTTCCACTCTTACTTTGCGCACAAAAAAAATTCTAAACCGACTCACTGGCTCAAAGTTGAACCACTATTTGTTTTGTTTAGAAATTCACACCGAGCAACACGCAGGTAAAAAGTTTTAAAGTCGAGCACCGTTGCATTAGCTGCACCACATGTTTTGCTTCATTTGCAGAGGGTTTCAATGGAATTTTCTCGAGCCATCACACCGAATAAAAGTAACAGGTCTATCCACAAACCTTAACGTAAAATACAACTGTAAAAATTGAGGAATTTTAAAAGGATTTCAATCGAATCGGGATGCGAAAAGTTTGCATTGTCGTATAGAAATCGACAGAAAGATCAGTCGCTTGTTGAATGGAATTTCAGGTCTCGTCCACACGTGTCCGGATATTTTTGAATCCGCAACTTTTTCTTTCCGGAACGGCTTCCGTCCCCACGCATCCGGCGAATTCAGTCGGCAGCAAATCCGGATATTTTTCCCCCGTGTGAACGGGGAAATTTTTGAATCCGGAAAGAAAAAGTTGCGGATTCAAAAATATCCGGACACGTGTGGACGGGGCCTCAAATTGTTACTGTGTATTTTTATCGTCCAGAATTAAGTGGAAGGAACAGTTAAGGGTTGCACGCGTATCAGTTAACTGAATTTAACATATCACTGATAAACTTAAATAGGTATTCGTGATACGGGTGGTAAAACCTGCGAAGGTTGCTACGAAAATAACCCACGTATATTTGCTTATTATTTATTAAGAGGGACACTTACTTGGATGTTTGAAAGCAATATTTAAATATGCATGTGCAATTGTATAACTTCAACATGAATTATTAGCCCAAGGCTGAACCTTGGAAAAAGGGTTGAATAAAAAGGAGAGGCCTTAAAAGAATTTTTTTTGGTTCGAGTTAATTCCTCGGTGTAGAGAAGCGCAACATATGAACAGTACTTACGATTTTAAGTTCGCTCGCCATTCTTCGAAGTCAAGCTTGTTGTCTTGGTTTACGTCGGCAGACTTCAGCGCCTTTTGGATGTCGAGGATCTTCTCACGTTTGAAGGACAGTTTATCCAACATCTTTTGGTATCCCTACAAAGCGAATCAGAACGCCGACATCACCGCTAACGTTTCGCTCGCAAATGGAAGCCCTTACAGAGCTTTTAGGTAAACATGGTTCATCAAAGAACCCAATGAAATTTCTAGCGCGCCAAATGGTTTACGATTCTAGACTTGCATAATTTTAGACAAAAACAGGGCCACCAGCCCGTTGAAAGGTTCTTAATGGCGACAGACCTGGTGTGTTTGGGGCGGAGACAAATTTCATGGCCAATAACAGACCAGTAACGTTTACCGTTTTCTTGGCAAAGCCAATAAAAAGATGACCTATTCTGCGGTTGCTAGGCGACAATTAACAGCTGAATGCGCGGCAGGAAAACTGGCATAAAAAATAATCTTGGCTACAGAAAATCAAACTTTTAAGACACCTGTTCTTTTTTATTCCTTGCTTTTAATTTCTTCGAATGTTTCACCACGTGCTGAGAATAGCGATTGTAAAATTACTTTTGTTTCAGACTTAATGGCGCAATTTACATGTTAGACGAATTCCAGGGTTCATAAATAACAACAGAATTTCCCATTTTCGAGAATTTCCCCTAGCTATAATTACGAACGTGAAAGAAAATATAAACTACTTTATTGATGTTTCAGCACAGCAATTATTGAAATACCTTACGGCGACCAAAAGACAAAGGAGCCGAAAGCACAATAAGTAGGTGCCATAAATTCTCTTTTAAAATGCAGAATTCGACAGGAAATTAGACAAGTTTATTTATTATTAACAAAAAACTGTCTACGGACTCTCATCAACGGGAAACATTACAAACACGTTAATTACTATTTGACACGAAAACTCCTTCTTGCCAATTTATACCGCAAGCTTTCTGCTCTGCAGGCTAAAACGACAAAATTTGTTCTTTAAAGTTTCGTTCTGCAGCAAAGTTTTATCGCAAGTCTTCCATTTACATTTGTAAGATGCAACCCAAAGAGGTTCTTTAATTAACATACCCTGACTCGCTTTCACCGGCTACGTTTTTAAGTAAGATTTTAAAGTCGGGAGTACGAAGACACTTTTGCAACGATAGATCAAGCACTCAAAACAGTCCCTAAATTCCAGATATAGCTTTTCAACTTACAAGGTGAAGCTTTTATAAAATTCACCCATGGAATTGAATCAAATTCCACGTAAACCCCCTGGTTCAGTTGAAAGTTTACGGGGCGAATTCCTATTTTGATTACGTAACCGTTACACGGCAAAAATGAAAACTTTCGACTAAATTTTCTAGAGCTTCCTTCGGTACACATCCGCACAAATTGACAAAGCGCTTGCAACTATTTTGCTTTACTTAGGGCTGGTTTTTTTTGGATAATTTTTATAAGACCAGTGCTTACGAAGCGTCAATAAACCTACATTTGCAAAACTTATAGGGGAGTGCATTTTACCCCCTTAACTTTTTCTTTTTGCCTTTAAAATTATATTCACGTGTAAAAATTAAACAACCTTGGTGTCATTTTGGTAGACAAATGTAAGTGATAACATTTGCGAAGATGCAGAGTTAACAGCGCGATTTTTCATTTGACGACAACGCAACTTTTGACTGAGTAAAAGGAGATCAGTCACGGTATTTTGAGTGATTTTGGCCATGAACAGAATTGCTTTAATTCGAAGGAAACCTGAAAATAATCGTTTATTGAGAGAGCAAAACACCAAAAGATAATAATAAACCGTAAAGGAAAAAGGATGGTTAAGGATGGAGAAGATTGACACGGATTACAAACGAAGAACTTGAAAAATTTAAGGTGGCCGAACACAGTTTTCGCGCGCGCTTTTGCTGATGCAATTCAGCGCGCGCGCAAGGATTGCAAAAAATAAACATGCCGTCAAGAGAGCGATCATTCTATTTACTCAACACCCGCAGTATCTGTGCTATTTTTCTCTATAATTGAACGCAGTGCATTGATGGCTTTCGTCATTTATTACAAAGATATGTTAGAAAAGGTAACGATGCAAAGAACCCAGCAATTCTCAACTTTTTTTTGTTACCGAAAAGAACCCAGTTAAATGCAGCGCATGCGCAGTAAGTCAAAAAATTGCGATTTGATGAAAAATTGCACTCTCGGAAGTACGCCTATTTCTCGAGAACCACTCACTAGAATTTCACGAAATTTGGCACCAAAATACTCTAGGAAACAAGTTATTGGAGTATTGAAGATAATTGAACTTTAATAAAGGAAATTCTAGATATTCCAGTGAACCTTCAACAAGGGATAATTAAAGATCTCTCTGTTAAATTATTAGCAAAATGGTGTTNTGCACACAAGGATTGGAAAAAACAAACATGCCGTCAATAGAGCGATCATTTTATTTACTCAACACCCGCACTATCTGTGCTATTTTTCTCTATTCAATTGAACGCAGTCCATTGACGGCTTTAGTCTTTTATTACAAAGATATGGTAAAAAAGTTAATGATTCAAAGAACTCAGCAATTCTCAGCTTTTTCTTTGTCACCAAAACAAACCAGTCAAATGCAGCGCATGCGTAGTAAGTCAAAAAATTGCGATTGAATAAAAAATTGTACTCTCAAAAATACGCCTATTTCTCAAGAACCACATTAGAATTTCACAAAATTTGGCACGAAAATACTTTAGGAAATAAGTAACTGGAGAATTGAAAATAACTGAACTTTAACAAAGGAAATTCTAGATATTCCAGTGAACCTTCAACAAGGGATAATTAAAGATCTCTCTGTTAAATTATTAGCAAAATGGTGTTAAGTTGTGAGAATCGTTACAAGCTTGTTACATGCAAATTATAAAGAAAATCTAAGTACTAGATTTTCTCCAAATAAACAAAACCGAGTTTAAAGGCCTGTTTATATTTATTCATGTTGCCATGGCAATGGCACATACATCAGCTTAACCATCGAAAAACCGAAGTTCGTGTTGTTAACTTGCTTGCCGCCATTTTTGGCGACCGAGAGAGTTTTAAAGAAAAAGGTGAATGAAACACAGGTATCAAAAACTGTGTTCAGCCACCTTAAGTTTCCATTTTCAGCTAAAATACATATTAATAATGATCTAATATGATTCATACACGGAAATATTCAAACAGCTTTCATGGAAATATACTGTAAACACCGGCGTATAAGCTGCACTCACAGATAAGCCACACCCCAAGTGTGGCAACTTAAATTTTGAAAAAAGAAATTTGGAAAGAAAGTAAAGTAAATCAAAAGTGGAGTCCTGAGAAAGATGTCTTACATGTACATGCATTTCTTGAACATGTCAAACCACATATTAACTCACTAAAACAGAGAGTACTAACACTCTTACCTATAATTATAGCACTGAGATAGTATGAAAATCCAATTTAGACATAAATCTGATCTTTCTAGTTTCTGGCATTTTTAATGCAGTATTTTTCATTCCTGTCCGTTTCTCAGTAGAATCTACATACAAGAATATGAATGTTTCGATTCGTTCGTCCATAGCTTAGTAACCTGGCAGGCTTAGTAATGAAGAAATGGTCTGTGGCCATCGGC